GGGACTGAAACTGGAAACCAACCCTAAAGGAAAAAAACCAAAACACCCAAAATCATGGAGACTGAATGGTATGCTATTAAACAATGAATGGGTCAAGAATGAAATTAGGGAAGAAATCAAAAAGTTTCTGGAAACAAATGAAAATGATCTCACAACAGCCCAAAACTTATGGGATACAGCCAAGGCAGTCCTGAGAGGGAAGTTTATAGCAATACAGGCCTACCTAAAAAATACAGAAGCATTTCAAACAAATGACCTTACTCTACGCCTGCAAGAACTCGAGGAACAACAACAAAAACAGCCCAAAGCAAGCAGAAGGAAGAAAATAACTAAGATCAGAGCAGAACTAAATGACATAGAGACTAAAAGTACAATTCTAAAGATCAATGAATCCAGGAGTTGGTTCTTTGAAAAAATAAACAAAATGGACAAGCCTCTAAGTAGGCTCATCAAGAAAAGAAGGGAACGGACACAAATAAACACAATCAGAAATGAAAGAGGAGAGATTACAACTGATACCACAGAAATAGAGAGGATTGTAAGAAATTACTATGAAGAACTGTATGCCAAGAAATTTGAAAACCTAGGGGAAATGGACACATTTCTAGAAAAATATAATCTCCCAAAACTCAATGAAAAAGAAGTAGAACACCTGAATAGACCAATAACAGCAAAAAGAAATTGAAGCAGTAATCAAAAAACTCCCATCACACAAAAGCCCCGGACCAGATGGATTCAAAGGAGAATTCTACAAAGCATTTAAGGAAGAGCTAACCCCCATTCTTCACAGACTATTCCAAAAAATCCAAAAGGATGGAAAACTCCCAAACTCCTTTTATGAAGCCAGCATCATCCTAATTCCAAAACCAGATAGAGATACAACAAAGAAAGAAAACTTCAGGCCAATATCGCTGATGAACAGACACTAAAATCCTCAACAAAATATTGGCAAATCGCATCCAACAATATATCCAAAAGATTATACACCATGACCAAGTGGGATTCATCCCAGGGATGCAAGGATGGTTCAACATTCGCAAAACAGTAAATGTAATTCATCACATAAACAAAAGCAAAGACAAAAACCACATGATCATATCAATAGACGCAGAAAAAGCTTTCAATAAGGTACAACACCCATTCATGATAAAAACACTCAGCAAAATGGGAATAGAGGGAACATTCCTCAATATAATAAAGGCCATTTATGAGAGACCTACAGCCAATATCATACTCAATGGGCAAAAACTAAAAGCTTTTCCACTAAGATCAGGAACAAGACAAGGATGTCCACTTTCACCACTTCTATTCAATATAGTATTAGAAGTGTTGGCCACAGCGATCAGGCAGGAAAAGGAAATAAAAGGCATCCAAATAGGAAAGGAGGAAACAAAACTGTCACTGTTTGCAGATGACATGATAGTGTACATGGAAAATCCTATAGACTCTACCCAAAACTGCTCAAACTAATTAACGAATTTGGCAAAACAGCAGGATACAAAGTTAATATCCAGAAATCAAAGGCATTTTTGTATACAAACAATGAATCAGCAGAAGCAGAAATCAAGGAAAAAATCCCATTCGATATAGCAAAAAGAAAAATAAAATATCTGGGAATAAACCTAACCAAAGAGGTAAAAGACCTGTATGCAGAAAACTACACAGCACTGAAGAAAGAAATCAGGGAAGACACAAACAAATGGAAACATATACCGTGTTCATGGATTGGAAGAATTAACATCATCAAAATGTCCATACTACCCAAAGCAATATACAGATTCAATGCAATACCTATTAAAGTACCAATGGCGTATTTCACAGACATAGAACAAACACTTCAAAAATTTATATGGAATCATAAACGAGCCCGAATAGCAGCTGCTCTTTTGAGAAAGAAGAACAAAGTAGGAGGGATCACAATACCTGATATCAAAGTGTATTACAAAGCCACTGTAATCAAAACAGCCTGGTACTGGCATAAAAACAGGCACATAGACCAATGGAACAGAACAGAGAGCCCAGAAATCAACCCAAACCTCTACAGTCAATTAATATTCGACAAAGGGGGCAGTAACATAAAATGGAGTAAAGATAGCCTCTTCAGCAAATGGTGTTGGGAAAACTGGACAGCTACGTGCAAAAAAATGAAACTTGAGCACCAACTTACACCATACACCAAAATAAATTCAAGGTGGATAAAAGACTTAAATATAAGCCGTGACACCATTAAAGTCCTAGAGGAGAACATTGGCAAGAAAATCTCAGATATTCCACGCAGCAACATTTTTACGGATATGTCCCCTAGAGCAAGGAATATAAAGGAAAGAATAAACAAATGGGATCTCATCAAAATAAAAAGCTTCTGCATGGCTAAAGAAAACACTATTAATTTAAAAAGACAACCAACTGTATGGGAAAACATATTTGCCAATGATACCTCAGACAAAGGTTTAATCTCCAAAATATACAAAGAACTTACACGACTCCACTCTAGGAAGACATCGAACCCAATTAAAAAATGGGAAAAGGACTTGAACAGACACTTCTCTAAAGAGGACATACAGAATATCCAGAGACACATGAAGAGATGCTCAATATCGTTAGCTATCAGAGAGATGCAAATTAAAACCACAATGAGATACCACTTTACACCAGTCAGGATGGCTGGATGGCTATAATAGACAAAGCAACAAACAACAAATGTTGGAGAGGTTGTGGGGAAAAGGAGTCCTTAGTTCACTGTTGGTGGGATTGCAGACTGGTACAACCATTATGGAAAACAGTATGGAATTTTCTCAGAAAAATAAAAATTGACCTGCTTTTGACCCAGCAATTCCACTGCTAGGATTATACCCCAAGAATGCTAAAACATCAATTTCAAAGAACCTATGCACCACAATGTTCATAGCAGCACAATTTACAATAGCCAAGAGTTGGAAGAAACCTAGGTGCCCATCAGTAAACGAATGGATCCAAAAATTGTGGTACATATACACAATGGAATTCTATGCAGCAGAGAGAAAGAAGGAGCTACTACCTTTTGCAACAACATGGATGGAACTGGAAAGCATTATGCTGAGTGAAATAGGCCAGGCATTGAAGGACAAATACCATATGATCTCACCTTTGACAGGAAGCTAAAGAATAAAACAAACAAGCAAACAGAATAAAAACAAAGACGCTGAAATAGAGAACAAGTGGGCAGCGACCAGAGGGGAGAGGGAAGGGAACTTAAGGGGAAAAAGGGGGAGGGATTTTGAGGAACAAGTATGAAAGACACAGAGATGAGGACTGGGGGGAGAGGGGGAATGGGAGAGAGGGTGGAGACCGGGCGGGGGGTGGGTGGGTTGGGAGAAATAGATAAAAAAAAATGTACTTGAAAAGTAACTAAATAAAATTTAATATTAAAAAAAAATTGTAGAGTACATTACTCTAAATTTCTTCACAACAGCTTTACAAATGTATGTATCTATTCATCACACCTCATTCCTCCTCCTCCTCCCATCCAGCTTACTTATGATTTAAGGTTCAGTTAAAATGTGACTTATTTATGATGTCCTCTTGAATCATCACAACCAGAGTTAGTCACTTCGTTCATCGCTTTTTCTAATATATTTATGTATTTACCCAGTATTATCTTCCCCCATAGGCTTTAAGTTCCTCCAGAATAAGCCCAGTCTTTCTGTTTCTCCCAAAGCCTGAAATACTGACATGCGCACAGTTATTCAGAGTAAAAGTTGAATAAACAATGAATGCCTTCTATAGCAGATTACCCACAGGAAGCTGTCAGGTTCTTTGTTCTCTCCCTCTCTTTCTTACTGCCTGCTAGTATTGCTGGTCACTGACACATTAGCATCTCTATTAGTAGGGGTCTTAAAGCCCTTACCACTTTTTAGTCACCTAGTAAATTTTGCTTTGAGAAACTAGTAGTTAAAACAAATTCATTACAATAAATTCTCAATTTTTGATAATACAGTATGAATGCATACTGTATTAGATAAATGCTTAGATAAATTAAGTCCATAGATAATCAAAATACCACACATATTAGCTGTCATTTTTAATTTTTCCTGTCATAAAGCCATTATCCTAGTTATTACAGTAAGGTTCTATATCTTTTCCTTGTCCCCATTAACTACAGTGCTAAGTATAATATCAATATAAAGGGAAAAAGTAGTGATACTCCATGTAATATGAAAAATGAACTACAGCACCATTTCCTGCACCACAAGCATCAAATCTGCATGTGTGACAGATTGCTCAGAGGCTCTAATTTAAAAAAGATTTTATTTATTTATATTTAGAGACAGGGGAAGGGAAGGAGAAAGAGAGCAAGAGGGAGAGAAACATCTATTGGCTGCCTCTCAAATGTGCCCCAACCTGGGACTGAAACCGTGTGTGATCCAGGCATATGCCCTGACAGGGAAATGAACTGGTTACCATTTTCGATTTACAGAATGTGGCCCAACAACTGAGCAACACCAGTCGGGGCCAGAGGCTCTAATTTTATTTTCGAATTATTCAAATTGACTACTTTTTAGGCAACCTACTTACCACTTCTTCCTTTAAAAACAATCTATTCTATTGGCTTATTTCCCCATTCTCCTACTTCTAATCTAAACAGAATAAAGATGAAAAAAATGAGAGTTAAGTCACATATGGAGACTTATATCATAGTCTAATAAAACAATTATTTAGTACTATTAATGCCGAGCCCAAGTACACAGTATACCCTCAACAACTAAATTATCTGATAAACACTTAAAATTTGGTGGCTGAAATTCTAAACTTCTGTAACACTCTATTTCTACCCATTTTAGGATTCATACACTTTGAATAAGTTTAAGTTACTTGAGGGTTAAGTGTATGTTTTATTTACATAGACAGTCACACATTAAAAAAAGTTAAACAAGATCTTATTGTAGAGGACATTTCTTCTTTGATCTAACAGTTGCCACCAGAAACTACCACACATAAATATTTTATGACAAGACTCTTACCGTGATATATATCCAGAATTTTTTATGTCATTCCAGCTACTGTCATTAGCTTCTCCACTTACAGAATCATATTTATTTTCAGTTTGACATTGAGTTTCAGATTCTTTCCTTTGCTGGTAAGGTGGGGGAAAAAATCACTATCAGTACAAAGATGAATGAAATTTAGCTAACGATCTCAGGCTATGAAATAACACTGAAAAATAAATAATATTGAGAAAAATAAAAGCATTATAAAAACACAGAATACTGCATCACCCTTGTGAAATGGAAGGGGAATGACACAGATGGAAGCCAGACTGCTATGCACTGAGGAGAAATGAAAGGTAAGGAAGTGGAAATGGCATATGGGTAACAATGAGTTTACCATAAAACTTAAGTAAATGTACCCCTGACCCCCACTCCCAACACTCACAATTAGTTTTATAAACTCTAAACACTTTGAAATACATTAGATTCTAAAATACATCTTACTCTGTGAAATTGAGGATGGAAAAGTCTGCATACAATAAAAGTTGTTGCTATGATACAAAACAGAATAGTTAAAGCTATTTCCTTCCACCAATGTAAAAGGAGAACAGGATCCTTTTTGCGGACATTCTTGTTGTAATTTGGGTTGTCGAGAAATCTGACTGTCATCTGTGTGTTCCTTGTGCTCCGTTTGCTCCTTTCCTTCCGGTAGTACGGTAGATAATAACCATTATCTTGAAATACAAACATTAAAAGGTTATTTAAATTTTTTAAAAGATAATCCAAATCAGATGTACCTTTACTTACTGAAAATTATTAATTATTCTATGACTTATGGTATTAATTCCTTTTATAGAAGTTTCATCTCTTCTTTAACACAATAACCTCATTTACCCAACTTTTTCTTTTATACTATGCAGTATTTTCCTTTATCCCATAAGCATTATAAATATTCTTTATATTGAGTGGTGATTGCTGCAGAGGCAGAGTGGTGAGTGGGTGTGGAAGAGGGTATGGGGGGATAAGATAATGAAAAAAATACAACAAAAAATGAACTATTAAAAAATAAATTTTCTTGCCCTGGCTGGTGCAGCTCAGTGGATTGAGCATGGGCTGTGAACCAAGGGGTCACTGGTTTGATTCCCAGTCAGGGCACAGGCCTGGGTTGCAGGTCAGGTCCTCAGTGGGGGCCATGTGAGAGGCAACCACAGATTGATGTTTCTCTCCCTCTCTTTCTCCTCCCCTTCCCCACTCTCTAAAAATAAATAAATAAAATATTTTTTAAAATAAATTTTCTTTATATTGAATAATAAGACTAGAAAAAAAATGTAAGGTCCAACCCACTCATTACTTCATTAATAATTAAATCCTTTAAATGAAAGAAAAAATTAGACAATACTCAATACTCAACTTCCTTGAAGAACTTTAAACTTTACTTTTACTTAGCATCACTCATAAGCCAAATTTTACCATGAATCATTCTTCACAGGCTGAAAGGAAAAATTTCCATCACACTGCCTGGTTCATTCCAGGTTGTCTAAATGAGTTTGTCTAGAAAGCAGACTATCATTTTTGTCTTCTACATTGTATTATGTGGGCAGATTACAAAGTGCTCTCGTACTGTTTCTAGTTCACAGCTCTCTGAGTTTGTTGTTGTTGTTCTAATCAATTTAAATGCTACAATTATTTCCCAGTCCTAATAGCTAATGTAACTAACTGATGAGGAGTCTATGCTTTTGTCTAATGCAAATTTGAGGACTTTATTTTTTTAATATCTAACTGCTCAAGACACAAAGGCCTTTGTATCTTATTATATCCCAATTTTAAATACATGGGAATGTATTTCATGCCAAAGTTCACCTATTCTTGACTTTTGCAATAATTTCCATTGTCTGCAAACAAAATTAAAATACCTTATTTTACAGTATTTTCACATAGCTCTATGGAAACATAGATTTTCTTCATTATACAGACTGATTTTACATTGACTACATTATATCAGCTGATAATTCAATAAAAACTAGTAAGAACAACTAATGGTTATTGAACAGTTATTTGCCAGGCACGGTATTAATTAAGACTGTACACACATTATCTCATACCTCACAACAACCCAATAAATAGACATGAAGATTATAATCCTTGTTTTACAGATGACACACAGTAAAGTTAGATGCCCAACCCAGCATGTAGCAAAATGAATTTGAACCTTGGCAACCTGACTTTTGCAGTTTGCACCTTGGCCACCATTCACAATATCGCCTTCCACAGTATTTTATTTTTCCACCCTCCAATTAACTAGCTTTCATTTAAATTCTATTAATTAATTTCAAGTTAATATATAAAATAAATAAATAAAACAGCATTTTTAACCCAAGAGTAATCACACTTACCATATGGATACTGCAAGATTGAAAGTGCACCATTACTATACTCTTCATGAGAAAACTTATCATTACTAAGACATTTGTCAAATTCATCAGACCCCACCAAAATAGGAGTTCTGGAAGGAGAGTCTAAAAGAAAATGTAAAAACCACTATGACTTTCATGAAAACATGTATCTCATTCTTTCAAACAACAGATATGCAACCACAGTTCAATATAAGCATTTAAGATAAACAAATGGTTCAAGGTTCTTTCCCTTGAAAAGCAGTCTGATAAATTCTTTAAACAAGTAATTAAAAACGGTGTGATAAAAAATATACACAAGGGCCCTGGCTGGCGTAGCTCAGTGGATTGAGCACAGGCCTGTGAAGCAAAGGGTCACCGGTTTCAATCCCCAGTCAGGGCACATCCTGGGTTTGCGGGTCAGGTCCCCAACAGGAGACGTGTGAGAGGCAACCACACACTGATGTTTCTCTCCCACTCTTTCTCCTTCCCTTCCCCTGTCTCTAAAAATAAATAAATAAATACTATTTTTTAAAAGGTAATTACCATATTAAAAACATATATATATATACAAGGTACAAAAAGATAACTGAAGAAAGTAGTAGTCTAGTATTTAATTTCCATTCATTGTTTCAAAGACTATGATGTGACAACTAGATAATTTTTCATAAATATTCTTGATATAAGTAGGTTAAGCATATACTTAGGCATGATTGGTGAATGGTTAAGAGTTTTCCTAAGTTGTGCAGAGAAATATTTTATTAACCTTGAGTTCTGGTGAAGGAACTGCTGTTTCAATGGAATCATGTTCTAAATGATAATTAGAATTCATTAACATTTGAAATATCTTCCTAGTTTTCCAGAAAATACAGAGAATATAATAGTTATGATCTCTGTGATAAACAAAACTAGGGCAAAGACACTAAATGATTATTAGGCTTCTGAACGTTAATAAACTTTGTGAAAGTTTCCAATTTACTTACGAATTAAAGGTTTCCATTTGATTGTTGGCAAAGGAATAACTGCATTTTCATTATTAATAGATTCCAAGGCCTTGGGACTCGTAGGAAACTTGTTTGAAATTCTGACTGATGATTGAAGATACAGCTGCCCTCTGTACATTCCTGAATCAACCAGAATATTATCAGTTATGTTTATAATAAAGCACCAATAATCTTTTTCAAAGAGATTCATTTTCGATTTAATAATATCAGATTAAATTCCAGTATTTTTCATGTGTTATACAGCTCTTTTCAAAGAACCATGCCTGAAGCAAATGACCTAAAGGCTAATCAACAAAAATATGGGAGGAAAGTTACACACAAGGTCCACACAATGTTTCTCATTGAATAAAAATTTTCAGTAACTACTAGAAAACACATTCAGTAGCAAAATTCAAAGAAAAGTCATCAGTGTTCCCTTAGGAGACTAATAACTTAGATGAAGTAACATTCTCCTTAAGGAAAGCTAAACACCTATAATTCCAGAGAATACTGCTAACAATTCAGTTAAATATTATCATAACACATGTATAACATGTTAATCTTTCAAATTCTTGCATTTCATTGAGGATGAATGGTGGATAGCACACTGATAAAACTTAAAGAAGTTTGTGAGTATCTAACCATCTAAACTAGTTCAACTTATTGGATTCAAGGTTTTTCCAAAGTTTTTAAAGAACTTCAATTGCCAAGAAGCATTCCAAAATTTTATTTTTATTTTTTAAATAAGTTGTATAGATGCATAGTAAAAGTTAACTTTTTTAAGGGAGGAGCAAATTGCAAGTACAAATACAAATGTAGAAAGTTTTAGACTTTGGGGATATATCAATAACTTGAAATGAGCTATGTACATGTATAATGGCAACATTTCTAAGCCTTCATGATATAAGTCTCAGAGGGGAAAAGAGTTATAGTAATTAAAAGTTTCGGAATTGGATAAATGAAACAAAATAGCAGGAATGGAAATCAAAGTATAAATCTCAGGACAACCTAAGGCATAGAATGTATTTACAGTAGTTATTAAAACTACAATAGGCACATCTGAAGTAAGAAGGAATAATATAGCAATCAAATCTAGATGTCAATTTATACTATCACTAGATAAGATTCACTCACCCAGGTAAACACTGTTTTCTGTGGCTCCTCGGGCAGCTTCTACAATGTCTTCTTCATCTTCTAAAACTTCATCATTAGATGCATAACTAGTATCATCAAAAAGACTGATGGGAATAACTTTTCCACCCTTAACCAACCAGGCAGATGCAATGGGAGTACAAAACTAAACAAAAGTGGGGAAAAAGTCTAAATAATTTCAAGCAGTATTTGTGTATTCTAACTTCTAAAATGCCATTTAAAAATCACAAATTTTTTAAATTTTAATTTTTCCAAATTTATTGAAATATAATTGACAAAAAGATATATAGATACTTATGATGAAAATGTGATATTCTGATATATGTATACACTGAAATGATTAGCACAATCAAGCTAATTAACATACACATTGCCTCACATATTTTGTGATTTTTGTGTGCATGTGGTAAGAACCTTTAAGATCTATTCTCTTCATTCATAATGTACATGTGTATCAAATCATTACAATGTACCGACCAAATATATATATACTTTTTCCTTGTCAGTTATACCTCAATAAAGCAGGAAAAGGTTTTTTTTTAAACATCTATTCTCTTGGCAAATTTCAAGTATACAATATAGAATTATTAACTACACTAAGCACCATGCTGTACATTATATCCACAGAATTTATTCATCCTGCATAACTGAAGCTTCGCACCCTTGACCAACATCCCCCCACTTCCCTTTCCCCCATCCTCTAGCAATCATTATTCCACTGTCTGCTTCTATGGGTTCAACTTTCTTAGATTCCACATGTAGGTGAGATGATGTAGTATTTAACTATCTGTGTCTGGCTTATTTCAATGTCCTCCAAGTTCATCAATATTGTTGCAACTAACAGGATTCCCCTTTTTAAGGCTGAATAATCCCATTATATGTATACATAGACAGACCACATTTTCTTTATCCATTCATCCACTGATGGACGCTTAGACTGATTCCATACCTTGGCTACTATGAATAATGCTATACTGGACATGGTAGTACAAATATCTCTTAGAGATATTGACTTCACTTCCTTTGAGTATGTACCCAGAAGTGGAATTGCTACATCACATGGCAGGTCTATTTTTAATTTTTTGAGGAACCTCCAAACTGTTTTCCATACAGGTTGGGCCAATTTACATCCCCATTAGCAGTGTACAAAGATACACTGTTGTACACTGTTCACCAACATCCTCACGAACACCTGTCTTTTGTCTTTTTCAAAATAGCCATTTTAACAGGTATGAAACCACAAATTTCTTAAGCATAGAGAATAAGTTAAAAATTCAAAATGGCAGTCATTTCCCACTACCTAATGTTTGGTCAAACAGAAAGGAAAAAACAGTTGATAAATTCTCAACGGTTTTAGGTACCTGATATTCCCATTCCAGATGTCCTCCCTTCTTACTAAAAGCCATAACCTTCCAATCAGCAACTGAGACTTTTATCACTGTGTCCACAAGGGCAGCTTCCTGTTCTTCCACATCTGAAATAATTTCAGACTCTTTGTTCCAACTGGGTTTTAAGGTGCTTTCAATAAATCCAGCTCTAGTTTCCATGTCTGGAATATACCGAAGTTCAAAGTGCCCAACACTGAAATTCCACCTTAAATTCACAAAGGCATGTTTTAGAAATTTACACTTGATACATGGGGGGGCAAATAAAGAACTTTTCTACAGTAAAACAAACAAACAAACAAACAAACAAACAAGAATTAAAATCTTTTGATGAGGAAAAACTCCACAAAATCTTCTGTAAAGAAGCACTGATAATTCATGCCACAAGAGGGCATAACTTTGTCCCGACCCTTCAGAAACAATGATTCTGAAAGTTGTGATCTGACAGCTGTGGAACAGATTTTCTCTCAAAAATTAATGTTTATATTTCCAAATCAGAAAGTATTATTTCAAAACACATCAAAGTCATCTTAAAATGAGGCAGCATTCAGATGGCCTTAGTTCTTAATTAAAGTCTAGGCACATTTCACTTAAGTGCAGAGAAATTCATGTCTGCCAGTAAACCAATGTAAAAGGCAAGATGAACAAATGAATTTTAAATTTATATGAAAGCATATCTTGAAGGGCAATGTGACACAGTATACCAAGCCTCACATACCACCTTACCTGCAATCTCTACTCACTGAGCTCTGGAAAGTCCCTTAATCTTTTCCCAGTTTCAGTGTTCTTATTCATAAAGTGACAACAATAACATTTCCTCTATAATTAATATATAGAAAAATCACTTACCTATTAACAGTATAATATCTTGTCACTTAGATATAAAATGACCTTAAAAATTACATCTATTGAAACAAAGGAACCAAATAAAAGAACTTTTCTAGAGTAAACAAAATACATACACACACACACACACACACATATATACACATACATTTATATATACACACATTCTTAGGAACATGGATCTTAGACACCAGATTCTTCTTATACCGGTAACTCAAAATTCTAATTAGTTTAAACATCTGTCCCTAAGGTGGCTGAGCACCCAGCAAGCACTCAAACATTTAAAAAAAACAAAACACAAAATCCTATCAGAATAAAAAAAAAGTTAGGCTGTCAGCAGATACTCTACTTACAGTCCAATAAACATAGAAAAAATGCATTCTTAACTGAATTGGGGAAATTAATTATATTGCTCATACTAAACTAAATTTGGAAGTTGGGTTCACTTTCCAAACATAAAGATGGGATCTAATATAATTTTTACTACAAAGGCAATTTAAAAATTAAATATTAGGATTTTAGAAAATCACACATGTATGTGGTTTAAGAACAGCGGATCTTATCCCATCATCTTATTTTTATCATGTTTAAATATAAAAATTGCATTAAAAATTCATTATTTGAAAAAAATAAATTTTACCAAATAAATTACATTTTCATACTTTAAGAAGAAAATACTTATAGGGAACCAAAATAGTTCATAAAATCTACAAAGAAAAATCTGATGAATTTTGATCTTGGTGTAGTTCTACATAATATGAGCAGCAACACTGTCTGAATACACACGTCTCATTGCCACTACGAGGTCCAACAGCTCTAACAGTTTTCTGGGTATGTTGCAGAAGCAGGGTATCTTCTTGTTCCATTTCAGCATTATCCCATTGGCGACAACCCAAGGCTGAACAGATGTACCTCACCTGAAAGACATGTAAAATTAGTTTAAAAAAGAAAAGGTTACTAGAGATCGGAGCCATTAAAAGAATCTCTAATTTACTTTTTTAATATATGTAAAATGTGTAAGAAATACCCAACTATTAAGAAACAAATTAGATGACCAACTCCTAAAATGAATTATTTAGAATCATAAAAGTAGCAATGAATATTCAGCGAGTGATTTTAAAGATTTAGATAATTTTTGTCTTACCTTGAGCATTTTCATGGAATACACAAAAAGAAATGGATAACCAGTTTTTATATAAACAATATCATTTAATAAGATTTCAGATAAATATTACAAAATCAACCTCAGAGTTTCCATTTAACAGAAATAGTTGGTTTTTGAAAATTTGAACTTTTTCTGGTAGCTACAGTATTTCAAAGTAACTCCTTCAAATCTTTATTAAAATAAAAAGGAAGACTCTTAATATGACCCAAACTAAAATTCTCACAGAAAGAAGTGTAGCTTCTACAATACCAGACGTATGCAGAAGTATATCCAGTTGGAGAACCAGAGGAGTTGGCTTAATCTCAGTGTTCAACAGATAAGATCACTGGAGTAAACAGAGAACACAAGGTCTCCTCAATGCAATGCAAAAGAAGGTGGTGGAGAAGCAGAAAAGCATCTGCAACAAGAGCTATGGGTCCAGCACTTAGATAAGGGATCATTAAAGTTTGAAAACTCAAGGGTCAAAGGATAATTTTTCTATTCTTTCTTGATTCAGCCTTAAGTCTATTTATAAAATATTCACACATCAAAAATTTAAAAAAGATTTTTACCTTTCTTAAAAAGATGTTTTAAATTAGTTATTACTAATGGATTTTTATTACAATACCCAATCTTAGATGCTGATTATGATCACATCCGAAGAGCTAATATGAACAAAGTTTAGGTTTTAATAGCAGGACTTTATCAGACAGATCAAGTCAAATCTGACCTTGGAAATTTCTAAACCTTTTAAAGTCTTACCAGTTTTCTTGTTTTTAATGTGAGCACAAACTTTCTTCCTAGATTCTCTTATTATAGGATCAAACTAGATAAAGAAATGAGTGGTACAATTATTCTTACTAGAATTGTTAATGATCTTTACATTTACAGGGTTCCTCATCTGCCCAAATGGAAACAAAAATATGTAACCCTTAGGAATACTGTGAGGATTTCAAAATGATGTATAATAAATGCACCTGACACCCAGTAGAATGTACTGTTTCCCTCCTATTATCCTGGATCTGCTGTTTATTCTGTTATCTTGGATAAGTCTAAGAGTTACTCTCTCAGTAATATTTTCCCCTTTCTACTTTATAGCTTTTTTATTAAAACAAATTATATTCTTGGGGGAAAACTTTAATAAACCACAACCTGTAATAGTATACTTTAAGAAAACGACTTCTTCTATTCCCTATTGATTCTGATTTCTCCCCAAATAAATTCAACATTTTCACTTACCTTTCCACTATATGCACTGAGTCCATATGTAGTGAGAGACTTTCCTCCAACCAAAACAACATCATCTCCAAATTTATAAGAAGATTCAAGAAGTGATTCAACTGTAAAAGGAACTGTTTCCATGTTCTCATGGTCTCGGTCCCACTGGAAAAGGTCTCCATCCAGGGAAGGAATGATTATCTTATTCCCCAAAACCTAAAATGAAAGCTACTTTTTAAAAGGCTCTTCACTGTAAGAGGAGTAACTAAGAGCTGGAGTCTTGAGCCTGATATACTCCAGCCTCTTCTCAGCAGAACAGCTCATCAATAGATAACAATCTAAAGGAACTGCCAATCTCTCCAGGGGCCTACATTAAGTTTTCCATGATGGTTTTTCTCAAATTATGTTTGCCATGAGTGTCCCATAGTGATAAGTGAGTCACCGAAAGAGAGTTTTATGACCAAGTGAGTTCAAGAAGAGGTTACTAGAAAGGTTCATATAGTGATCAATATGCTAACATACAAAATGATTTTCCAATAAAGAGACAGCAAATGTAGTATTTTCCAGGCCTATTTTATCCAGCTTAATTATTATCATAGGCTCAGACCCTAGGAACACACGTTGATTCACACAATATCCCATCCTTTCTTGTATTTACTTTCTCAAGTCTGCTATGGGCTAGAAACCGAGCTTACTGATTGTATGCTCAGTAACAAGTTCTTCCACCTTAAAAATGTTTACTGAGGGCCTACTATGTGCCAGGTATCATTCTGTTGCTTAGGATAGACCAATGAGCAAAATGAATAATAATAATGCCGTTCTAGAGCTCAAACTCTGGCGTCAGCAAACATTATAAATAATTATAGGGTATATTAGGTGATAAAATGCCAGAGGGGAAAAAACAGAACAAGATAAAGGGAACTGGAAAATGTGCATGTGGGAGGGGAGGAGACTGTCACTGAGGAGTTTAGGGTAGACCCTGCTAAAAATATAATATTTGAGCAAAAGCTAAACATGAAAGTTAACTATGCTTATTTTGGGGTCACACGATTTACCAAGGCTGTAAGCATACATATCCCAGGGAAAGGGAATGGGCTACTGAGGCAAGGGTAGAGGCAAGAAAAGAAAGTAGAAGGACAGAGAGGATGATGATGGTTGATAGCACTAAAAGTGCTGAAGGAGGTCAGATTTAGAGAGAACATAACTGAAAGGTAAGGCCAACAGGATTTCATGGTGGATTCCTGTGCAGAATGAGCAAAAGAAAAGAGTTCAGCCTGACTCTAAAGGTTTTGGCCAAGAATATCTTGTCTCTTGAGAAAGAGTTATTAGCACATGGTTTGGTGACATTAATCTTTTGGCATTTAAAATACATATACAATTTGATTTACTTTATCTAATGACAAAATTATTTTCCTGATATAGACTCAGAACTTTGGAAAAAAGAGAATAGGAAAGAAGAGTAAGTTTAAGAAACAAAAAAATAAGATGCAAACAGGCCCTGGCTGGTGTAGCTCAGTGGATTGAGCACAGGCCTGCGAACCAGACAATCGCGGTTCGATTCCCAGTCAGGGCACATACTGGGGTTGCAGGCTGGTTCCCTGCAGGCCAGTTCCCAGCAGGGGACGCACAAAAGGCAACCATACATTGATGTTTCTCTCCCTCTCTCCTTCCCTTCCCCTCTAAAGATAAATAAATAAAAATTTAAAAAAAAAGATGCAAACAAATGCTGGTCTTAACTCTTTTTAAAACAACATTTCACTATGGACTTCTTCATTCCTTACCCAGGAGAAGTTTTTCTCTTTAAAGGGATACTTAAAAACTCCCACAGAACCAGTAGGACTTCTAAGTTAATGCCCAGCTCACAAACCCTCCCCTTCCCCTAGCTTTGACCCGCATCCCTGGGATTCTGGACACAGCAGGTTGAAAACCACTATTCTAATCCACTCCTTTCTTTTTCTTTCCTTTCCTCCCTGTCCTTCCTTCCCTTCCCCCTCTTTCCTTCTGTAATAGCCTCTATACCTCTTACCCGGAATTCCTTCACTCTAATTTCTCATTGTCTTATGGACTAATCTCTGAAGTAAGAGTTAAGCTTGTTATGATGCTATTCAAAAATCTGCAAAGCTCTCTGTTACCTTCTTAGTAAAGTCCCCAAATCCTAAGTCTAACATTCAAAAGTCCTCTAACCATGATGTCAAACAACCTTTTCCACCTAACCTTCACTTTTTCCCACACTGGTAAGAATCAGGCATCATCACTTAAACATACTATTTAATGTTACTTTTACTGTTCAGTTATTAACAAATTGTTAACATAGAAGCAATGTCTTATCTCTGAAACAACCCCTTTTACCAACACTGCCCACTGAAATTCTGTTTGGACATCAAGCTAACACCAGTTATGTTTTCTATGAAATCCAAGAAAAGGCTGGCAATGCAAATTTGTTGACAAAAATCTTCTAAAATTCCTGACAACTTCTGGCCAAGATGGAGGCATAGATAGACATACTGTGCCTCCTTGCACAACCAAAATAAGAACAATAACAATTTAAAAAAAAAAAACAACCAGAAATGACAGAAAACTGAACTGTATGGAAGTCCAACAACCAAGGAGTTAAAGAAGATACATTCAACCAGACTGGTAGGAGTGGCAGAGATGGGCAGGTGGGTGGAGAGAGCTCGAGGCAGGGTGGCAGCTGGCTGACCCCTGGTGCACAAGGCGGTAACTGGCAGACCCAGCAAGGCTGCGGATTGTGGAGTGAGCCGGGCTCAGCACACAAGGCAACTGGTGGTCTGGGCAGTCACACATTCACATGCAGATAAACCAGGCAAAACTGGGGAGCAAGACAGACTGTGCAACCCAGGGTCCCAGTGCAGGGATATAAAGCCTCAAACCTCTGATTAAAAACAACTGTGGGGATTGAGGTGGCAGTGGGAGAAATTCTCAGCCTCCGGAAGAGTTCATTGGAGAGACCCACAGGGTCCTAAAACATACACAAATACACCCACCTGGGAATCAGAACCAGAAGGGCCCAATTTGCTTGTGGGAAGCAGGGGAAGTAACCGAAATCCGTCAGAGAGTGGAGCAAGTGCCACTGTTTCCTCTTGGAGCCCTACCCCACATACAGCACCACAACACAGCAACATGGGTTGCCCCACCTGGGTAAACACATAAGGCTCTGTCCCTCATTAGATAACGGGCACATCAAGATTAAAAAAATGGCCCAAACAAAAGTGCAGATCAAAGCTCCAGAAAAAATACAAGTAAGTGATGAAGAGGGAGCCAACCTATCAGATGCACAGTTCAAAACAGTGGTAATCAGGATGCTCACAGAATTGGTTAAATTTGGTCGCAAACTAGATGAAAAAATGAAGGTTACAGTAAGTGAAATAAAGGAGAATGTACAGGGAACCAATACTGGTGGGAAGAAAAATAGAACTCAAAACAATGGTGTGGACCAGTAGGAAGAAAGAAACATCCAATCGGAAAAGAATGAAGAAACAAGAATTCAAAAAAATGAGGAGAGGCTTAGGAACCTCCAGGACATCTTACACGTTCCAACATCTGAATTATAGGGGTACCAGAAAGAGAATAGGAAGAGCAGCAAGTGGAAAAGTTATCTGAAAAAGCAATAAAGGAGAAATTCCCCATTCTGGCAAAGGAAATAGACTTCCAGGAAGTCCAGGAAGCTCAGAGTCCCAAAGAAGTTGGACCCAAGGAAGCACACACCAAGGCACATCATAATTACATTAACCAAGACTAAAGATAATGAAAGACCCTTAAAAGCAACAAAAGAAAAGGAGACAGTGACCTATAAAGGAGTGCCCATAAGACTAATGGCTAATTTCTCAAAGAAACCTTGCAGGCAAGAAGGGGCTGGAAAGAAGTATTCCAAGTCATGAAAGGCAAGGACCTACATCCAAGATTGCTCTATCCATCAAAGCTATCATTTAGAATGGAAGGGCAGATAAAGTGCTTCTCAGATAAGGTCAAGTTCAAGGAGTTCATCATCACCAAACCCTTATTATATGAAATGTTAAAGGGACTTATCTAAGAAAAAGAAGACCAAAACATGTACGGTAAAATGATAGCAAGCTCACAATTATTAACAACCACACCTAAAACAAAAACAAACCAAGCAAACAGCTAGAACAGGAACAGAACCACAGAAATGGAGATCAAATGGAGGGTTATCAACAGGGAAGTGGGAAGGTGGGAAGGTACAAAGAATAAGTAGCATAGATGATAGGTAAAAAATAGACAGGGGATGATAAGAATAGTTTGGGAAATGTAGAAGCCAAAGAACTTATAAGTATGACACATGGACATGAACTAAAGGGGGAGAATGTGGGTGGAAGGGGCTGTGCAGGGTGGAGGGAAGGGGAGAAAATGGGACAACTGTAATAGCATAATCAATAAAATATTTTTTAAAAAATCTTCCAATTCCTTAATACTGTACTTATTGCTATAACTGTAAATTGAGATACCATTACATTCCCAAAAATTGTATGTTGTATCTCTAAGACATATGTACCAGGTATGCTAACAATTTTACATTTGTTTATACAGTGGCTGTAAAACTAATGCACTCAAATCTAGTGTCCAGATTTTGTTATCTAACTTCATTCCCCACCTAAGGAACTAAGCCTTCTCATAGAAATGGCTGATCCCAGGGCTGGGGCAGGGTAGATACAAGATTGGCTTTTAAATATCTTATTCTAGATAGTATGGATGTAATTTTTTTAAAAAAAGATCAGAGCATGCCATTGACCACATATGGAAGAGTTTAAGCATCAAAATAATTAGGTACTAAATTATACAGCATTAAAAAAAAAAAAGGGAATCAGACTTCCAGCCAAGATGAAGGTGTAGGTAGATACACTTGGCCTCCTCACACAACGAAAAGGACAACAACAAATTTAAAAACAAAAAATAACCAGAACTGCCAGAAAAATCAAACAGTATGGAAGTTCAACAACCAAGGCGCTCAAGAAGAAATATTGATTCAGACCAGTAGGAGGGGTGGGGATGGGCAGCAGGCGTGGAGAGGACTCCTGGCAAGGCAGCTGCCAGAGGACTGGGTGGACGAGATGGCAGCTGGAGGACCAGAATGGGCAATGGAGAGGCTGGTAGTCCAGGTGTTTCCACATTTGCATGTGGATAACTGGGAAGAACAACTGAGGAGCAAAACAGACCATGCAACCCAGGGTTCCAGCACT